TCCGCACCACTCAGCTTGGTGTCATCTGCAAACTTGCTGAGGGTGCACTCAAACCCACTACATCATTGATGAAGACATTAAAGAATATGGGTCCCAATACAGATCCCTGAGGGACACCACTCATCATCAATCTCCATCTGGACATTGAGTTATTGACCACTACCCTCTGGACATGACAATCCAACCAATTCCTCATCCACACAACAGTCCACCCATTAAATCCGTATCTCTCCAATGTAGAAAGAAGGATGTTGTGAGGGACTATGTCAAAGGCCTTACAGAAGTCCAAATAGGTAACATCAGTAGCTCTTGCCTTGTCCACTGATGTGGTCACTCCAGCCTAGAAGGCCACTAGGTTGGTCAGGCGGGACTTGCCCTTGCTGAAACCATGCTGGCTGTCTCAAATCACCTCCCTGTCTTCCGTGTGCCTCAACATAGCTTCTAGGAGGATCTGCTCCATGATATTCCCAGGCACAAAGGGGAGGGCAATGGGTCAGTCATTCCCAAGGCCCTCCTTGCTACCCCTTTTTAACAATGGGTGCAATGTTTCCCTTTTTCCAGTTTCCAGGGACTTCACCTGACTGCCAGGACTTTTCAAATATCATGGTGAGTTTCTTGGCAACTACATTAGCCAATTCCCTCAGGACTCTGGGATACATCTCATCAGGTCCCATAGAGTTGTGCATGTGCAGCTTCCTCAGGTGGTCTCAAACCTGATCTCCTCTTACACTGGGAGTGACTTTGCTCCTCCAGTCCCTTTCTTACAGTCCATCCACTCAAGATCTGTGGAAAGAGACTGCTAGTGAAGACTATGGCAAAGAAGTTGTTGAGTACCTTGGCCTTCTCCTCATCCACTGTTACCAGTCTGCCAGTCTTGCTCATCAAAGGGGGTACACTTTCTTTGACCTTCCTTTTCTCACCGACATACCTGTAGAAGCCCTCATTATTATTCTTTGCATCCCTTGGCAAGTTCAGCTCCAGCCACACCTTGGCCCTCCTGACCTCATCCCTATACAACCAGGCATCGTCACTGTATTCTTCACAGGATACTTGTCTCTGCTTCCACTGCCTGTGCATTTCCTTCCTGCCCTTTGCTTTGATCAGCAGGTCTCAACTCAGCCATGCTGGCCTCTTGCCTTCCTTTCCTGGTTTCTTACATCTGGGGATCAAGAGCTCTTACACTATGGAAAGCATCCTTAAAGATCTGCCAGCTCTGTTCTGCTCCCTTGTCCCTGAGGGCAGTTTCCCAGGGGGTCCTATTAACTAACTCCATGAATAACTGGAAGTTTGCTTTTATAAAATTCAGGGTCCTAACTTCACTCTTCACCTGCCCCATATCCCTCACGACTGCCAACTCCACCAGTGCACGATCACTGCAGCCCAGGCTGCCTCTAGTGTTATGTCACCGATTAGCTCACTTGCATTGGTGACCAACATGACCAGTATCACATTCCATCTAGTAGGGCTGTATTCCCTGGCTGAAGAAGTTATCCTCCATGCACTCCAGGAGTGTCCTGGATTGCTTACAGCTCACCATCCTACTTTTCCAGCAGATGTTGGGGTGGCTGAAGTCCCCCAGCAGGTCAAGAGCCTGCAAGCGCCATGCCTCCTGCAGCTGGAGTAAGAGGGCTTCATCAACAGACTACCCTTCATCAGGTGGCCTGTAGTAGACACCAACCACTTTGGAGGCACTGCCTCCATTCTTCCTTCCTTGCCTGTCGCTTCCGAACAGACTGTAGCCAAGTTAACTACTTTTATTCTGGAATCAAAGACCATTTTCTAAATAATTTATGGTTATTAATTCCTTTCAAGGGTGGAAAAAAAAATTTAAAATCCTTCTCCTCATGCCTTGGAGTAAAAAACACTCTTAAAGTATTCAATAAATTAGTCAAAACAAAGCATGTAGGAGTGCAGAAATCATAACTTTTTTCTGCTTTGGTTTCAATCAGTTCACTTAAAATGCTGCCTTAGAATTGTGTGTTCACCAAGGGCTGACCACTGTAGCATGCTCATACCTTCCCATATCTATTAACTCAAGCAGCACAGTACAAGTACTGCCAAGCCACTTTGCCTCCCCAGGGTAGGGGCTGTAGGTAAAATCAACCCTACACTTTTTTGTTTGGATGTAGAGAAACATAGGCAATTCTGGAATGAACTCCAGCACTGAATCAAATTATAATTGAAGTATTTATATGATAACCTAAGAACTTGATCATTTGATCATAGTTAGTTCCCCATGTCCTTTAGTCAGGAAGGACATGCTTAAGTTTAAGGTCAGATTTTTTTTTTTTTTTCTTTTTCTTTCCCAAATCAGAATCAAGGAAACAAATACAAGATAAAGACTCTTCCAAACGACTGTTCAAACATGTAATTTGGCAAATAGCAAAAAAGCACTTAAAAACTGACTGCATATTTACTAACATTTAGGTACATGGATTTTTAATCATAACAATCTATTGGAAAAATTTTTATCCAGAACAAAAGAACTCCGCCTAATGGTACATAACAGCCTTGACACTTTCTTCTCAAGTAGCACCATCTGCCGAGACATAAGAACAAATGCTCTGGAAATTAAATTATAATCTGCACCAAATAAAAAGCAAACTGGCAACAAGTACAGTATTTTTTAACTTAAAATTAAATTTGCTTGTAGCAGAGCAGTAACTATTATTTACAATAAACTCCATTATTCATACATTTAGTACGCTTCTTTTACCCCTTCTGCTGTATTTGGATTGTGACATTAAAAAAAATATTTCCTAGGGAATCTCTTAATAAACAAGGGTTTACAGTGTGAGACTTAACTTCTAGATAGTATATACTATTATCCCCTTACACCTCTTTCTAGTATGAATTTTTCACATATACATAGAACCACTCCCTTTCCCCATCAGGTAACCTCAATATTTAGTCTCATCTTCAACAAAATAGAAGAACGATTAAGTATAGGGGAGTACTTTACTTTTAGATAATACGTAATTTGACAGATTCTATTTTTTAAAAATATCTAAGGGCCTACCAAACAGTCTTACTAATCATCTCAGCAAAATTTGTTTCATCCTTCACTTACAAATCATCTGATATTTTTGATTAATAGAAATTTAAAGTACTCTTCTTTCATAACTGTATCAGCAATCCTCACCAACTGAAACAGCAGTCATGACCTGAACACTGGAAACACTATGCAGCAATAATTATGTGGAACTGTATTCTCACCTAAAGAAGTCCATGACACATTACCTTAGATTTTCAAAAAGTCTAGAAAAAAAGATCACATCGTAATATTCACATTTACTCCTTCCTATTTATTTACTGTCACTTAAACAGTGACAATTAAAAAAACTTGAACATTCTAATCTAAGAATTACCTTATGATAAAACTGAATGCTACAAAGAACACATTTATTCCACACGAACTACATTTGCAGTGTGATAATACTGCATTTGTTCTACATAAACTGTGTTTGTAGTGCAAATCTTTCATTACTAAAACTTGATTCCTCCCAAAAGCAATTGCAAACATCATTCTGAATGGAACAAAACTGTAATGCAACTATGCAACTAGAATCTGACAGAGAGATGCAAGGGCAATAGTTTAAGACTGGACAAACGGCTTTAATTATAAAGTTTTCTAGTATTATTTGACTTAATAGTACTAACTTTTTTAGTAAGTATAAAAGAAACTTGTATCATCATCCACAGAAGAAGTCCAAGTAACACTTCTCAGACATTACAGTGGACAGAAGAAAAAAAACTGCCTTCAAAACACATGACTTTAAACAGTCACACAAATACAGGTTTTCTGTCTTTTTATGCTAACACAGTTCAGCATTTCATTTAAGTTTCAGTAGTTAGACTAGACAAGGAGTGGCAATACCCTCACTCAAATATCTTTGACAGTATAACAATCTTGCTTATTTGTCAACCGGTCTCTTCCATAATGGTTTCTGAACAGGAAAACAGTGAGTTCACAAAGAAACTGCTATCAAAGTAGTATCTGGCTTCTACAGACTTGTTTGAGCACTCTCTGTCTGGCTGTCAGTCCAGATATAGAACAGGAACTACGATTTCCAGTGGTCAAGGTTCATCTGTCCAAACTGATTTCTTGTCACCCACAGCTTATCTGACTCAGCCACATTTATGCTGGGATGCCGATTGTGTGCTGTGAGCTGGTCAACAAGAAGATGATGATTATACTCTGGCAAATTGCAAGATGGAACCAGAGAACTGAGAGGATAGCAATATGCAACAGTTAACTTCCTATACTTTGTCTTACCAGAGTAAACCAGCGGAAACTTTGTTACCTCTCTTTTACATAACGCATAAAGCAAAACCGGCTAACAAGTGCTGAACATGTTGTAGTCAGCAGCATGCCAATGGTTATTAAATGGCTTGCTTTCTTGTAAACAGAATGTGTTCCGAGTAATTTCTTGACATTGACCTCAAAAACAAATTAATATTTAGAAAGCAACATTTATTTGTTGAAGCCCAGGTAAAATAAACATGAAAACAGACTGTCCGAAGTATCACCAATAAAGCTAACCGATTCTATTTGACCCTCCTTTTACCAATTAGTTGGCACTCTTAAGAATGTGTTAGTTCTACATGTCCCTCTTCCCGTCCCATCAACCTTAAAACTTAGCAGTTTTAATGGGAGAGAGAATTCAGAAGACTTTAGAGTAAATATGGATAAAAACAATAAAAGTAGATGGTTTCTGCTGTTGGTCCCAGAACCTTCTTTTTAATCAGGCAGTTTCATTTAACACCAGGAATGTTTTTAAAAATCTGTTTTCAACTATAAAAGCACAAAAAGGACAACAAACAGAATCTCCTAGAAAGAACACTGCAACTCAAATGTTCAGATAAATTTTGGCCCAGTTTGCTCAAATCTATAACAAATAAATCAACACCAAAGAAGGCTAGCCATAACAAAAACAACTGTGCCAAACTTAGCAATAGTAAAAGAAGTGCTTTACACAGAAATGACCATAGTGTTCATAAGCAGCCACTCTGTTTCAGAGATACGGATATAAAAATATAGAGATGTGTGTCTGTAGTAGTGATATTGAACCAAGTATCTGGGACTGTTTGGAGCAGGGTCACAACTTCCTGCCCTAGGAATTTCTACTTATTTGTGAGAACATGTATGAAAAAGTCTTCCTGCATCAACTTTTGTTCTATCGGGACAGGAACCAGGCTAAAAAGGAGTGAAGGGGCTTACACATATTTATGGCTTGTTGAAAGATTTTAAAACCTCCAATTTGTCTTTCTAATCACAAACTTACCTAAAGCACTGATGAAATCTGCAATCTAGAATTCATACTTAAGAATACCAATTTCAATACTTTCCACACACTTACTATTTTTTTTTTCCTCAAAAATATACAGTCTGCAAATGGTAATAGTAAAAGGCAACAAGCTATAATATTTTAGTACCAAACACACTGTTCAGGAAAGCAACCACCCATGATTGCCCAAAGTAAGTTTAATACATTTGATTAATGTTTTAAATCCTTGCAGACTATGAAAGGAATCAGTTCTCATGCAAATATCACTTTATACATAAGACCTATTTACACATATTTGGCTTCATCCACAAAAATATTTGGACAGTAAAGTTTTCTACGTTTTTCATACGATATTTCACAGTTAACACATTAAGCTTGATGTCATGAAATGTAATGCTTGTAAGACAAGCATTTCCAGTTGTGTTACCTCACCCTTTGTAATTCCCACTTTTCTATAAGATGCTCCACTTCACCTCCAAGAACTGCTGTGTTACTGTCATCCAACAGCAAGAATCCATTTCTCACTTCAACAATTCCTGAAAGCTTAATTTTTGTTCCAGGTGGAGTGTTCAGGCTAGAAGTAGAAACAAAGTTGAATATTTCAAATACATGTATTAATAGTCTGCCACCAAAAACATAAAAAACTCTCTTACTGTACTTCCAACATTGCCATATCTTGTAGTAAAAAATTAGCATCTGAAATCTTTGCAATAATTCCTGCAGTATGCATAGTACTTTTCAATAGCTTTATTGGAATGCTTTCCATTCATTACACAAAAACACCATATTGCAAATTAAATTCTAACTGAGATGAATGTTTGCAAATTGTCTGTTTGGTTAAATTCCAATTTAACAATACCAAACTATGGGTGTGATTTGTTTAGACTAACAGAATATGTCTCCAAATCAGTTGTCTAAGTTCCTTATCCTAGGATGCATTTAATAAACAGATCTCCAGATGGTTTCTCATCTCATTTGTTATAGACATTTAACTTAGGAGGAAACAAAGAGCTGTTAGAAAAGAAGCTTTCTATACATTACTAACAGACAGGACTGTAGCAGAACACAGATAAAACACACACATCTCGTAGTGCTGCTTCTCTCATTATTCTATTCTTTGAAAGCATACACATGCTCTCCATGGTCTACTCCCACAAGGAGGTACCTACCTTCTTTTCATGTTAATCTACTCTATGAAAAACAACAGCAGATGCATAAAAGAATCATGCATCTCCAACCCACAACTGAAAGACATAACAAGCAGCACAATCTGGAAACTATGATTCTTCTTGTGAGAAACGGGACACAGTCAGTTATAACCATTCAACCGAGAGACAAAAACCTCTTCAAAATATGCTAAAGCTATCGTTGCAATCACAGGGCCATAGCACACAGTGAGGAACATTCACAGTGCAGGTGGCCAATTTCAGCACTAGTGGCATTAACCGTGGCAATAATAATGTATTTTTTGATATTGTTCTGATAAAAACAAAGAAAATGAGATCAGAAAAAACAGACAAGAACGAACTACGGCAAAAAATGAAAATTATGCAAAGGCGAGGAACAGTAAATGGAAACCCTAGTCATGAAGAACTTCGAATTTAAAAGAAAATTGTGATATTTATTTATTTATTTAAAGAAACCCTATGTACTGAAAGAGCATATTATTCCAGGTTAGTAGTCCAACCTCAAAGCTGAAACAACTACACACAACACAAACTTTCATACAATGGTACTTGAAAATAAGAGCTCACATCATTATTACAGAGTGATTTCTCTGAAATTTTTGAGATTTTTATCTAAAACCTTTCAAATTATGTCTTCTACTGAGTCTTTAAGTATTTTCTGATCTAGAATCTACTTACACAGAAGCCTGTTTGCCTTCCTTTTCTGCTCTCTTTATACTCACATTGGAATAGCATATTCCTAGTTCTGCTGTCTCAAGCTAAAATCAAAATAACATTAAGTGTTCTACCTTTTAAGACAGCATCACTCTAAACTGCAAGCTGGCTCCTGCTCAGAAGGAGTAGTTTAACAGTAAAAGATGACGTTTAAAAATTAAGTATAAAAGACCTATATCTAACTGTGGCAGCTAGCAGAGAAAGACAGAGGAAAAAGTTTGCATTTTTTTTAAATTGAAGTAATCTGAACTAGAGTGAACAGCAAAGCACAACTGACTCTAAAGACTAAACACTAGAGGTAATTTTCAACATCTTCATAACCAAACACACAAAAAATACCCATGTCCAACAGTAAATGGCTCTCTTCATTTTTAACTGAAGAAATATTTAGTAATTGAATCCAAGTTAAAGCCTTGCCCATGGTAAAAGAGCACTACTTGCATTACATTAGGTGTGTCAGCCCTGTGACATTCCTGC